ATGTATTACATCTAGCTGAATGAGTTGGGTAATACATCTAGCTGAATGAACATTCGACTGTACACTACGGGCAACGCTGGACCATGTGGTCGTCCGCCTCTTCGGCAACCGGCTGATGAAGTCGTGGACCTCGGCCGCGTCGCGGGGAGGTCCACAGCGGAGCAGGACGGCTGAGACGGCAGCCCTTGGGAGGTCCGGACGAAAGATGGTCTGAGTCAGGGAGCCAACAAATCACGCATATCATATCGTCTCTTCAGAAAAACCAAGCCGTTGAGGCAACATGGTTTTTAGACATGATCTGTTCAGGAAACTTTCTGTATAGTATCAACATGTATCAAGCAACCATATCACAAGACGATAGCTGAATTCCATGATCATGATCACTTCAGGCATCAACCAATCACATCAGTCTTCAGTCAACCTAGCGAACCGACTTCAGGACCGGACTCCCACGGATGGGACCGGCACGACCAAACGAGAGGACCCATTGTCACTGCTGTTCGATAGGTAAACAGGTGAAAACGCTCGCCCGGGCGACCCCCCCAACAAAACATACAAACGGAGCTTCACCAAGCAAATCTCACGAAATCACCCTGGCAACACGACCAAAACATCATAATAAAACGTCAAGCCGGACCGTTTTCTGGGTACCGACACTGTCCGCGCGGGTCCCGCCTCCAACATGGAGATCAAGCGATACCGGCCGCCAGCCGCGGCCTTGGAGAAAGGCAGCAGGGACAGTCATGCTGGTGTACCTGGGACATACCCTAATGCCCCAATGAGATCCGTGTATCAATGCATGTATCTATCTATCATTATCTATCTATCTATCTGTCTGTCTGTCTGTCTATCTGTCTATCTATTTATCTATATAATCTATATATCTACCTATCAGCCAAGACGGCACGTAACTAGGAATTAACTTGCCACCTATTCCAGTGCTGGTTGCTGGGAGAGCTGAGGAACATCTATGGAACCTAGGCCAGGAACTGTATATATGGCATCGAAGGGGTGATCTTCTAAATCAGCCACAAACCTCACAGGCATCACTTGGACATGGTTGGACCAGGCATAGTTGGACCATTGGAGACGCATTGTCGAACTCGACAGATTGATTCCCTCAAACAAGTCGATTCACACATCCTCAAATCGACTTGGGCAATCACATCCTCAAATCACACATCCCTCTCCGTGTTTTCACGAAAACAACCCTCAGGCCCTGAGGTCCTTGGAAGTTCACCTAGTTCGGGACTCCACACGGAGTTCTATACCCAAACCATCTATGGAACTGCCACATTTCCTTACATTGGGGTCAATGTATCGTGTATATGAGTGAAAAGTGTATATGGCATACATGGAGTATCACACACGCTTTGAACATCCGATCCTTCTGCTCACAAGTCCTCCAAGATCTCAAGCGCACCCACTTGTAACTCCAATGAAGTGGATGGAGCTCCGAGCGGCGACGCGGGCGACCTCGCACTGCCGTCGCAGCTCCTCTGCCGTCACGGTGCCTCCAGGAGCCAAGCGCCATGGATGGAGGGGGGGCGGGATGGAGAGGGATGAGAAGTTAGAGGTCATGTAGGGTTGTAGGGTATGTGCCCATGTGGGGTATGTAGGGTCATGTTGGTTCTGTTGGAGGTCATGTTGAAATTCAAAGCCGTCAAACATGTACATCTCTATATGACATGTCCCCCTTGAATCCTCTGCTGTTGAGATGTGATGAGAGAAGAGGCACAGTTGGGTCACGAAGACTGTAATTCCATGAAGCGCCTGTGTGATTGTGGCCGAGGATTGAACTTCTGAAAATCCGCCTTCATCCCAGTCTTACATGAAGCGCTTCTTCGGAGTCTTCATTTTTGTCCCACCGGGAAAGCACACATGTCTTTCTCACGTTTCTCACCCTCTATAGATCTGCAAGTCAACAAGCAGCCGTCCGACGTCCTGTGAAGCATTTCAACCCCCAAAAGATCACAACTATTTCTCACTTCTCCATCTTCTCCTCCAGGCAACACGTCGCATCCGCTACCACATCCACCACATCCACCGTGCATCGAGTCCACGGCCCAGAATCAGCCCGAAGCACCCCATGGGACCGAGGACGGCAAGAAGCGAAGCACATCGAAGCACCCAAGCGACCGTGGGTTATACTCTTTGAAAACACTCATGGAAATGAAACAACATGGGATGAAAAGGGATTGAACAGTGGTTGTGGGAAGACCAGATTCCGAATACCAACAGGGGGTTGTCTACTTCATTGTTGCAGGTAGGGTATGGATATACTGTGCTCAGCTCCGGACCACCCAAGCCCTGGGTGTCGGCCTCAAAGGGACACGTGGCAAGCCGAGGAGCAAACGCTGAGCCGCCTTCTGAAGAGTCACCCCCCAGCTAAAGCAAGTGAATCGAAGAATAAATCGAACATACACCTGAGAAATCTGGAAAACATCTGGAAGATATTGGACAATACACCAAGCGAAACATGCGCCAAGCCATCTACCATGTGTTTTTTTTTGTTGCTTTTTGGTGAACCAGTCCCAGTGGGACATCCGTCCGAAAGGGCCTGGTCGCTCGCTTGCCGGGTCTCCAGGCTCTGGCGCTGGCGCTTGGCACGCTGGCCTGGAACGGACTCGCCCCGTCGGGATGTGCCAAATAGCCTTGACATTCCTTGACTCCCTGTGGGTCCCTCCGAATTAGCCAACATCCGACAGCTAGGTCTAAAATTACAAGACATTTTGGAATGGTTTCATCTCTTTTCGATGTTGCTGCAGTCCTATACACTCCATGAGACTGGAATATATGCCTACATTGACCCCCTCAACCACCCTAATGTAGGCGGCATATATGGCAGTCCCATGGAGCGTCTGGGAAAGTCATGCAGACTCTTGATTAATACAGTACACCCGACTTGAACATCATCTTCATATTCAATAAGGGGGGGTTATTAATCAAGAGTCTACTGAATGACTACGAACGGATCTTAGGGGGAGACTCAGGGACATGAATCACCCTGAATAAGACCAAAACCATCCAAAACCCCTTGGGCCACCTACTTGAATTCCCCCACCGATTTTGGACCACCACTCACATCCACCCACCCTCCAAAAACAGCAACGGTCGTCGGGTTCTTCACTGCCTCGTACGTCTGGAAGAACTTCTCGGGCAAATCATCCGCGAAGTCGGAGGGGACGAGGTAGCTCTGACGTCCGGTTCTGGGGGTATTGGCTGGGTGAGATCAGGAACTGGAGGACCTGGTTCCTGCACCAGGTGAGCATCTGGTTGCTGTGATCTTGCCCCTGCAAACACGCGTTTGTGTTTTGAGGTCCATCAGTTGTATCTAGCAAAGAAATGTACAGCCTGTTACAGCGCTCTAGACTGACATCACATCGGCAAAGAGGATCAAGGACGTAACGTAAAATGCTGGTACATCAAACACCCCAAAGGAATTAATTTGTGTTATCATTGTTTTTAGTATTCTTTATCTAATATATATATATATGCAAAAGCTAAATGAACATGTCTGGTGCCAGCTTTAGGAATCGAAACCATCCCAAACCTTTGGTGCGAATACAAGCATGTACCACCTCAGCATAGATCAAAGCCCACAACAAATCCAACCTCAGAATCCTCAGAACCCACGTCGTGAGGTATCCCCCAAATTGGAACCAAAGAACCCGGATAATTTGGCCTTGATGATGCCCGGTGCCTTTCATGGCCTGGTTCTGTTCCAAACAATGGGATTATGCCTGATTATGCTGTGTTCCATCACTTCTTAAAACAACATGAACATTTCGAGGTGGTGCGGCGTCCCTCCAATCAGCCTTCTGCGCCCAAAAAAAGGGGCCGGCCTCGCATTTCTCGGAGCCAGGGCTCCGAGGATGCTGACAACCATAGCCAGAGAAGGCCAAGAGTAAATGGTCGCCTTAGAAAACGCTGCCAATTCGATCGACCAATTCGATGCAAGTCGAGCGCTGTGGATCGCCGCCGACGTAATGAGTGGATCGCCAGGGGTGAAGCAGAGAATCGACCGGTCTCCCTGAAACAAGCGGTTGGAAGTGGAAAAGCCACCGGTTTGTAGAGGAAAACCGTCTTCCAAGAGGCCATATTCCACGTAACCATGTTTGTTGGACGGAGGGTAGGTTTATGGCATCGAAAGTCTGTCGCACCACTGGTGACCTACTTTCTTACTGTCACATGTGTTCCTGCGGCCCCCTACTCTCAACATGCACGTTCCACCACGCTTAGCTGGGGAGAAAAGCTTTCTTCGGACGAAACCGGTGTCGTTGAACCGACGTTCGTCTCGGCTCATCCGCACCAACACCGGGGAGGACGGATCCAGCCCGGATCCGTCGAATGAGGGTGATCCTGCACGCTGCAAAAGCCACTCAGTGTGCAATTTTAAGTGGTTTTACTCATACACGACCCATGGGACTGGAATATAGGCCGCCCCATTGACCCCCTGGCACCACCCCAACTGATCGGCATACATGGCATACATGGAGCGTCAGGGAAATAGACGGGATTTGATATGAGTCAAAATGAGCACGCACAACCAGGGAGCCCAGAGTCAAGTTCATCTCATCAGGATCATGCGACCAGGATTTGAGAGCCCGACCAGGGCGAGCTGAAGACACCAACCAACCCAAGGCAGCCTTGGCCATGTCTGTGCAGATGTGACTTTTTGCTGGACAAATCTCAAAGGCAAGCGGTTTCTCTGAGCCGATCATGTAGGAACTACAACTCCAATCTTGAAGGACTTCCTCTGATTTCCCTCCAAGTTCTGCCTGCCCCCCCCGCAGTTCGAACAAGTTCATCTTCAATATTCAGGCGCAAATCCTAAAGCCATCCTTCTGTTGAAGCAAGGGTTCCTGAGATGAGAATATACGATCAACAGCTTAGCTACCATGTTTCCGGCATTTTGGGGGAGGTGCCCATATGCCTTCCACAGCAGGCCTTTGCGGCATTTGGCTCCTGTTTTTTCACCCGTAGCTCGTGCCATCCGCTCACGTGAAGCGCTGCTTGGCCTCGTCCATGAGCGAGTCGAATTCACCTTGGACGGCGCGGTGCTTCCGGCCACGTGCGAGTCCAGGTGCGCGATGATCAAAAGACGCCAAGACCGTAAGACCGGTCGAAAGGGGTGGCCACTTTGGAAAAGGTTCTTGGGAGTATATGTTCCTTTTTAGTCCTGTAATGTAGTCTCTTGATTAATCCGCCGACCCCACACCGTGGGGTCAAGGCGTGACTGTTGATGTTAGTCCGTAGCCTGAGACCTAGTCCTTAGCCTTAGACCTAGACCTTAGACCTTACCTCCCTTACCCCTCCGGGACCTTTGTTACAGTGACGAAATTCTGCTAAAAAAGCGACCGAAGGTGACGTGGATTGTCCAAGAATCTGCCATCCCCAATTGATTTACATCTTGGGGCACCCTCTCGACCCGCGCGGGAAAATAAGCACGGTCCAAAATGGTCCTGGGCTCGAATCCCGGGCTGGTCGCGGCATGGTCCCGGCCAATGCCCGTGTTTTTTGTAGAGATTTTGTCACGTTTTCTGTCGGTTTATGAGATTTTCAAAGGCTTTTCTGGCATTTTCCTAGGAATGTTCTAGGCTTTGTCTAGATTTTGTTATGTTTTCGGCTGGAGGCTTTTCCAAGAATTCTCTAGCGCTTCCTCTTGTTTTTAGGTTCCCAGATTTCTCCCAAAAATTGGTAACCTTTTGCTAACCTATGGAACTTTCACAGGCTTTTCTAGCATTTTCCTAGGAATGCTCTAGGCTTTGTCTAAATTTTGTTATGTTTTCGGCTGGATGCTTTTCCAAGAATTCTCTAGTGCTTCCTCTTCTTTTTAGCTTCCCAGATTTACCCCAAAAATTAGTAACCTTCTGCTAGTTCCCGGCCAATGCCCGTGATTTTTCCTAGGAATGCTCTTGGCTGCACTTAGATTTTGTTACGTTCTCGACTAAATGCTAGGAATGCTCTAGGCTTTGGTTATTCGGGAGGGTGCTTTTCCGAAAATTTTCTTGCATGTCCTCTTGACGTGGGTTCCCAGATTTGCACCAAAAACTGTCAACCTTTCGGTGAGGAACGCATGGGGTTCATGCAAGAGATCACGTATAGTAAACCTGGGAGGTACCCAAAAAGTCGACTTTTTGGGTACCTGCTGTGGTGGTGATGGGTTTGAATTTTTAGGCAATGATATCCTGTGGGGAGAAGGGTTCAGCATCACCGGGTTCATGCAAGCGATGACGTCCGATGGTAAATCTGGGAGGTACCCAGAAAGTCGACTTTTTTGGTACCTGCTTTGGTGGTGATGGGGTAAATCTTTTTCAGCACAAGTCCGGGCGCCGACACTTGTGGCACTTGATTGTATCCGAGACCATGGGCAGCGCCCTGCGGGCAAGAGCTGACGTCCGATGGTAAATCGGTGCAAGAGATCAGGTATAGTAAACCTGGGAGGTACCCAAAAAGTCGACTTTTTGGGTACCTGCTGTGGTGGGGATGGGTTCGGTCACCG